TTACCATGGCGCAGGTGCCACAAGGGCACCAGAAGGGATGCGTCACGTGATTCTTTTGCTGTGTTCGCCGTATTTGCGATATGTTACACAGGTGCGGCTAAAAGCACGAATTTTCATTCCTCGAGACGGTAGCCCCATTTGGACAAGGACCGCATGAAAAAAAAGCGCCATTCATTAACATTTAGGTGCATCTATACAAGGTAGCGCGTTTAAGACTGAAACAAATGTTTATCAAACTAAAGGCGCTTAGGTATATTCCGGAGGGGTTAAAAGAACCCGCGGTGCGCAGCTGCGACCTGACTACTATATAAATTTGGCTTTTGGTGTGTACCACCCCCCCCCCCCCTCCGAAAAAAAATTTAATTTTCGTGTTGGGTAGCGCGCTATCACGGTGTAGTTTCGCTCGTGAAAACTGTCCGCAGAGTATTGTCTCCGACTTTGGAGCCACGCGTCATCGTCTGAGCTAACATAATCATCATATCTGAATATCCCGTAGGGCACGTGGGTGCAGAGTTGAGTGAAAACTTCAAAAGACCACGGTGTACTATAGACTGCATGGCTGTCGTGTGATGACTTTCCGGCTAAGTTTGGGTGTGTGTACGTCCTTTTGTTTTGCCGGCCATGTTTACTTGATGTCACTGATTTGACGACTTCCTGGACCTTTTGTTGATATATATTTTTTTCTTGGAGGACTATATGTATTTAGAAGATCCTGGGAAAGTCATATTCGCCAAATGCTAAAGAATGTATGCCACATCTGCGCATGTAAGCACAAGACGTTTCGGCACGAATGATGATAGAAAAAAATAGAACTGTACCTTGCTTTCATCTTGCAGTAATTAACCTTTTGATTGGAGGTTAGTGAAAAGAGAATTTCCAAAGGACGCTTCGCAAATCTGAGCTCATTTACTCTGTTGTTCCATTGATAATATCAGGAGTTCCGATACTTCGCGCAATTGACCTCCAAATGTTTCTTGACCTTCCCGTGCAACTTGGACCCGTCAGCAATACACGTCATCAATTCACGACTTTTTGCTTCTGTACGGGCTAACCGCGACGTTTCGTAAACGTCGCAACAATTTTCCGCTGATCATACCTGAGGTTTTTCAACAAGTACTCTGTACAGACAAGCATCTAACCGCAGATACGGAACGAAACGACGATCGAACGCCGAAGTGTGCTCCGCTTTGTCGATTTCGTAATACGCCGGCAGAGCTGTTTCATAGCATAGCACGCCATGGTGTACAGTCATACCTATGTTCTTTTTCACTTTTCTTCTGTGTAAGGGCATACGCTGCTTCCGTGTGCATTTCTGCCGCGAACTACGAGAAGACTTAAGCGACGGTGATGACGTCTGTTTCAGGAAGCCATTACTCTTTCTCGTCCGTTGGCGTTATATCGATGTTATGGAGGCTCGGCCGATATTCATCGATCATTTGTTCGTGACGTCCGGTCAGGGTCGATTATGCGGGCGTCCGTCCTCGACCTTGTCGCGTCTACAAATACAAAGGCCGTTGTCTGACGGAGAGGTTGTACGAACGACGGTGCTGGCAGTGGCACGTGGGTTTTGCGTCGAGATGGTGGTAGAAACATTTATTGCCACTCTAGGATGCAGGGGCCGAGCACTCTCATGGCACATGGGTACAAAGTTGGGCAAGAGTACCAAGTTTTGCAAGTCAGTTGACGTTCTTTTCGTAATGGTCTAGCTGCTTATCGAAACAACCAAGTTTTTGAAAAAAAAGTCACAGTTTCGCCAAAAGGGCGAAGCAATGAATGCGATAGCAACATATTCAAATATTCTACGAAGCAAGGCTACTATGTTTAGGAGCAATATAATTGTAGTAAACATATACCTGCTAAGCAACCAAGTTTTCTGCGAAGTGGTCACGGTAGATGACGACGGGACTCGTGCGTAGTGACGGCGATGATATACGAAGTGAGGCTGGCAGTCAACTCAGTTAGATCCGGTCTCACGTAACTCTACAACACGCTGGTGTAAGAGAACATGGCTGCTGCAGGTACACTTTTGGAACTGCTTTTTTTTTCGTGTTGAGAGCGCCGCTCGTAGAAGCTCCCGCCTGCTTTGGGGGCACAAGCTGCGCTGATTGTTGCTGCGATAGCGTGGTAACCATAAGCGGCCCCTCCCACTCCTTGTCCACTCACGAGATAAGTGCGTGTGCAGACAACCCCGGTCGGAACGGCGATGTTCGCTCCGCAGCGTTTCATCGTGTTCAGCGAAGATGACGGCAAAAATCAGCCGAGACTGTCCATATATTTGCTATCGCAATAAGAGAACGTACAACGCGACGAAAGGAAGTAATTTCGGGGAATCTTATGTGTCATCTGCAGTCGCTCAAGCAGGAAAAATGAACGCAGAGGCGTCTACGACAGAAACGCGAATACAGTTGCTCTGGTAATCCCTCTCTGCCGCGGTGGCGTTACGGTACTGGGCTGCTGATCCGAATTTCGCGTGCTCTATCCAGGTGGCAGCGGTCGCGTTTCAGTGGGGGTGAAAAGGTAGAAGCCCATGTATACTTTGCAATGTCTGGGCACGTTAAAGAACTGCGGTTGATCAAAATTTTCGTAGCCCTCCACAACGGCTCCTGTCATTATCGCATCGTGGCTTTGGGATAGTAGAGCTTCAGTGACTCTACTAATAAAAACGCAGTTACAATGTTACTTTATGTGATACTGTGAATAAACAAAAATATCCCTGTGAGGCACTGACATACCTATACCTTTGGGCAGAGTAGACATACGAGTGCCTTGTTGCTTGCAACTTTAGTGAAATCGATGTGCATACGTTCATTCGTAAGTACCTGGCATCGTGTAAGTACATCGTAAGTATCGATGGCTTTTATGTAGCAACAAGCTGGTCAGAGGTAGAGTTCTGTCCTTAATGTGTTTCTTTTTTTCTTCCCACGAGGCACTCATTGTATATATGACACATCGCGTGCCCTTTCCTCTTGCATTCGCGACCATGGCCCAGAAAGCGGTGTCAGCGAGAGCAAATATTTAGCGTAATTATGTAGATAAATTGCGACATCGTTTCGCTGTCCCAGCTAATGACGCGGTGTCGCGCAGTCCTATACAGCTGATATACGGCTTCGAATGTTTAATCTTCCAGCGTTGTATAAAACACACAAACACGGGCAGGTCATTCATTGCAACTTGGTTCGATTTGTTTGTACATAAAAATTACGAGATTCGGCGGGTCTCGTTTCGGTGAATTTCACGTTGCTAGTCACCCGTCACTCTCGGAGGCTTAGTACGGTATGGGTGCTTGAGTTCAGACAAATATTTTTTGCGGAGGTTGGGCCTCATGGGAGCTTTCACCACGCGGCAGCACATTGGATGCGACGTGCGTACATGCAGCTCAAAATATTAAGCTCAGTAACTATATAGCTGAGAAACAGAGCAGCCTTGGTAATAATGGTGAATGATTAACCCTAATTTAGCGTTGAAATCTCCCTATTTTAGGAGTTTCTGCACAACGTTAAAGCCGTACCTAGAGAAATACACCTTGGCAGTACATGCGGGTGTAATATGAGACATGGGAGTGCGGTAAGACGCGATAATGTGAAGCAGCATGTAAAGCAACTCCACCTACATTTGGGGCGAGGTATCACGGAGTTACCCTCCATTGGACGCACCTTTTTGCGTGCTAGATAAGATTAGGGTGCTTCGTTGCACGCCCTCACTGAGCGGGGGCGCGCGTGGAGGGTTGGAGGAGCGGGTATGGACTCACTCTTGGTATGGTAACGCCAGCGCGCTCCTCTCGGGTTCTAAAATAACACACACACGCGCGCGCGCGCGTGCGCGATCATTCTGGTAATGCTTTCAGAACGAGGGGAAGTTCTACCGTCTGAGCAGAAACCATTGACAGAAACAAGCTGCCATCAGTCGTCAATACGAAGTGCGTACTCCTTGATGCGGACATTGTGTTTATCTACCTTTGAGAATGAAGTACCGCCGACTTGTAAGTTGTATCACACTATAGCGTTGGCTCCTCCTGTACCTTGACGTCACGATGGTACATCTGTTTATCAACGCGTGCTCAAGCAGGATATCATGATGTTTCCATTCTGCCTCGTCGCTCCATAGGAGACGAGCGAACGACCATTTTGAACATTTTGAGTGACGCACAATTGATTGATATGTGGGGTTTAACATCCCAAAACCACCGTAAGATTGAGAGACGCCGTAGTAGTGAACCCCGGAAATTACAACCACCCAGGGTTCTTTAACATGTACCCAAAAATGTGGCTGCATTTCCGCCTCCATCGAATATGCAGCCGCCGCAGCTGGGATTCGATCCCGCGACATGCGGGTTAGAAGCCGAGTACTTTAGCCACTAGATCACCGCGGCGGGGCTTAGTGACGCACAAGGGGCCGTGTTGAGTATTTTGGTACCTGACATCTTTACAGCTTGGCGTACCAGTGCGTTAAGTCTCCAGAATTGATATTGTAGCTTGACGTCACAATAACGTCAGTATAGGTGCGCCATATGAAAGTTGACTGTAATCCTAAAACATTTTACCGGCATCTACTAAGCTTCGCGCGTGCTCAGTACAGGTCTGTAGAGTGCAAATTCGTATCACCGAGCATGTAAACTTAGCCCCGAAAATCGGTGTCAGTATGATTTCATTTCATTTTTATTCCTTAAAGGCCTCGCTGAAGAAGCATTCCATAAGAGGTCGGCTACTATCAGCGTCAAATGAAACCCGAACCGTGGCAAGCCTTCGCGACAGTGTAGTGCGTGCCGTCCAGTTATCACCGTTGATAGGCGCGCGCATACTGCTCGGCAGCTCTGCGCATATATGCGTGCCTGTCTGCGGTGATAGCTGGACAGCCCACACTATACCTATCGCGAATGCTTGCCGCTGTTCACGTTTCATTTGACGCTGATAGTACATGCAGGAAAAATAATGGCCGTGTTTTAATACATTGTAAAATAATCTATTAAAGCCATTTGACTGTCATTTTGTCCCACGCTGCAGTTGTGTATGGCTCATGGTTCGACCACGTGCTCCCATACTGGAAGTTCCACCTGGAGCGGCCCGACCGCGTCATGTTCGTGTCGTTCGAGGAACTGAAGATTGAGCTGGGCTCCATGGTACAGCGCATCAGCCAGTTTTTGGGCAGGCCACTCGGGCCCGACGCGTTGGCCGCCGTGGTCAACCACTGTTCCTTCGACCAGATGAAGAACAACAACATGGTCAACCGTGAGGTGCTGCCCATCTCGGACCTCTTCGACATGACGCAGTCGAAGTTTATGCGTAAAGGTATGCCCATACACTTGCTCTTACCTTTAAACCGAGAATATTCTGCAAAAGCAAAGTCATCAGCCGTCAGTAGTACAAATACCAGCGCTATATATAACATATTTTACGGAGCCTCGTGCGCTTGGGTTAATAATTGGGGACTCATATGAGGCAACTTAAAGCCCAAAGATTTCGACGAAACGATCAATTTTTAAAAGCTCTTAAACCACTACCAGTTCGAAGACATGGAATAGGATTCTTTCTCATCTTGACTACTGTTCCATATACTGGTGCTATATTCTCTTCGCCACTCATACCTTCATAAAACCCGTGGATGATGTCTGCATATCGTTATCTCCGCTTGGGTACTCGAATAACATAAATAAAACGAAGTGAAGTATAAGTTGATTGTGCACGGTATACTCATTAAGAGACAAGGGAAAACTGGTGCGTGATAACATGGTCATACAGGGCAGGGAACCATTCCCTGCTGATATCTCTCGTATATGGACCAATCGAGAGCAATTATTTGTTGATGACGTCACATAAACAGACTATTGGCGTCATCGATTACGCCTGAGAAACGGGGAACGCAAGGAGGGAGCAACGGACTCTTTTTTTGTACTTTCAGAAGTTATTAGGGCCGCTTTGACGAGGATGTGGGGCGTTTATATGACAGAGTGAACTTTTTTTATTTTTTTTCTCATCGTATCATGCAGGCATCATCGGTGATTGGAAGAACTACTTCACCCCTGAGCAGTCTGAATCATTCGACCGACAGTACGCCGAGCGCATGGCGGATAGCGGCCTGGACTTGGTGTTCGAGCCACAGGACGCCCTGGATCGCATGCGCAAGTTCGGCCGCATCATCGTAGACCCCGAGCCGAAGATGAACTGGGGCCAGCCGGGACGGCACCGACTCTAACGCCAACAACGAGGAAGATAAGGAGGTGGACAATTCGGGCAAGCGACCCTTCCCGTGCTTTTTCGACTCGCCGCCACTGCCGCGTCGCCGCGAGGCGGCACTACACCACCCTTTCATGACTCCCGACCCGCTCACGCTGACGGGCTAGGTGGAGGCGTCGCCCGCATCGGCAGCTTCATTTCGGCGGGAGCAACATGAACTCTTAGGCCTAGTGGCTGCGAGTGGCAATGCTGTGGACGAGTGCCTTTTCGCTAAAGCTGAAATGGAGTGGCAGCGAGTGCGTGCAGCGGCTTAGTCGTGCCACAAGGCCTAACAGGAGCAGAGTGCAGTGCTTCTTTTTTTAACATTATTTTTTGTCTCATTTGTGCTTGCCACTGCTGACGCGGCTGGTGACATTGTACCTGCAGCGTTGTTCATCGTCGTTGCATTTGCGTGCAGCCGTAGGCCTATCGCTTCACACCTATGCGTGTCGCTGATAGGCTGAGTTTAGGCCTAACACTTAGGCCTAACAGCGACATACGTACACCAACAACGTTTTTCTCCTTTTACCACCGGTGGAATAGGGAGCGATAGGAGTAAGTCGTATGCCTGGTGGCCTCTGACCGGCGCCGTTAAGCCTAGCAATAGGTGCACCTCCTTGTGAGTCTGGAAGCTTTCAATGTCCTGTAAAACCCCCCCCCCCCCCCCCCCAAAAAAAAAAGTTTGGAACATTTTCCAAACATTCACGAAAAAGCCTGAAGACTGTTTTTGAGTGAGCTTTTCCACCTGTCTCTCTGCATGTGTCATTTACAGCTCAGACTTTTTTTTTTGCTTTCCAAGAACCAGAAGTCATCTAGCCCCTAATAGCACAATTGTAGGCACAGCTTTCTGACCATCTTGTATACATGCGAGCTGCTTAAAACGAATGCTTTCAACATAACACTGAATATCGCAGTGATACTCCAGATATCACAAGAGCGTTTTGTACACAGAGGTCCTGTAGTCTACAACAACCAATAACTATACTAGATCATGCAAAAAATAGTCAAGGGAAAGGAATGCCTTTAGAGGAGCCATTTTGCACCTTCCATGCAAGCCTAAAAAAGGGAGAACGGAAACAAAAATGTTGCTAATGACAGGAAGTTTCACGCAAAAAGTAATGATGCAGGGACCAAAGACATCATGTTTTTTACTGTACATAGAAAGTGTGCTAGCGTGTCGCATGGGCAAGATGATTCACTCCTGACCAGAACTGCGTGCTGAGTTTTGCTTTGTGTCTTTTGTTTGTGTGCATCTGGTCTTGTGATTTGGATTTTGCATTGCCCCGTGTGCCTGCTCTTTTTTTCCATTCTGTGGGAAAATAAAGTAATTATCAAGCATTCTTGACATGTTGCCATGTTTCTTTATCTTTAATAATAGTGCTACATCACCGTTCATTGCAGGTTAGCTTAAGCAAGAATTCCAATAAAGTTTTTGGATTATTAGCGAGAAGGACGTAAAAAATGAAAGCGAGGTTAATCGGATTTCCGGCTTGCTACCTTGTACTAGGTGGAAGGAATAAAGCGACTAAAATAGGACTAGAATTCATTCATGTGCCATAAAACTAGAAATGGAAAGCCAATAGAAAGCTGCTCTTCCAAGCTCATCTCCTTACTGGAAATTTTTTCACACTTATCTGCGTCATCTCAGATGTTTTCGTCTGCGCCAGCAATGCACCGTCGATTACGATATGGCCTAATGCGAAAACAGGATGCAGCTGTTTAGCTAGCACTTTCCTTTTTGCGATAAGTTCTGCCTCTCCGGCACGCACGTTTAGATTCTGGCGCCGGCGGAGTTAAGCTTCTGTTCAGGCAGTAAAACTGAGCAGCAGCGACATACAACGCACTTCCATCAGTTGCATCACTCTTTACTCAGAAGTAACTGGCTCAAACTATGGTCTATGTGCAAACTATGTTTACATTAGGGAGATAACGCCGTGAGAAGCGTGACTGGGGTGAATAGTTCTAGGCAGCCCATTTAACATTAACCGCCGCACATGGAGCGTAGCACGACTTCCTCACTAACCGGGAGACTGGGGAAGGAAAGGTGTGAGCGCGTTCTACAACAGCCGCCGCAAGACGGGCGTCTGTCCAGCAGTAGTTTATTTTCACTTTGAGTAAAGGTCGGCGCGCTCGCCCTATAACGTTATGACGATGACGTCATTGATGACGACGAGAATGTGGGCACTATTGTGGCTGCCGTGGAACCTGTCGCCTCACAAGTGTCCTGTCCTCCTCCTCGCTATTTCTGCCTTTCATCCTGCTTTCAGCTTCTCGTTCGCTCTCTTTCTTCCGCGTTCGCTGTTTTGGTTACATCGACACCTACACTTACGAGCGCCGCTCCACGGATTCGCGCATTTGTTAAACAGCGCTTGCACTTCTACGAAACTAAATATCATCTAGCTAACTGTTCGTGGCTTCCGGAATTTTCGAGAAATCTGTCTGGGAAAAGCGTTCGACTCCACCCGGGAGTCCTTCTCGTGAATTGCACCGTTGTCTGCTAGATCGGACGCGCCATGCCGGAATTCGCATTTGTAGTAAAGTGCACGTACCGTAAATTCGACTGTTATGTTTATGTGTGTAACATAAGTGTTACAATGACGTATGGAACGTAAGATGCGTGTCGATCTGGCATTGGCGATGACAGACGTAAGCCCACAAACCTGCGGAGTGCGTCAAGCTGCGCTTAAAAAACATTTCCAATGACTTGTAGATGTCCAGTGATCTCAATATTTTTGACATGCACGTTTTCGTTTAACACGAAAAGCGTTTTTTGTCCGGTTCCACCATGGCTCCACTGACGTACTTCCGTCACGGAAGTGGCGATGAGAAATACATACTAATAAGATTCCAAAGAAGCAGAAGGCAAGCAGTCGTCCCGAGGAATGGAAACAGCAACGTCTCGATTCTTAGCGCGCAACGCTAACCACTACGTCACGCAGGGTACGTTGTCTGGAATGCTAACGGCAAGCCATTTATATGCACCACACGCCATTCCGCAGTCCTCAGAGTTTTGATACTTTAGCCTGTTTTGTTTACCAATGGCGAGATGGCGCGAAGGGATCACGTTGGGTGACGCGCTCGAAAGGTCGTCGTCTCCATGAAGTGTGGTCTCTCCGACACGTGTGTTTATCAGAATCGTAGTTTAGGAGAAGATGATGGCCAATTCGGACGTAGTTGTTACCGCGTTTACGAAACGAGCGTGCTGCTGACACCCGACGCCGGAAGGAGCGTTGTGTTTGTTCGCGCTTGTCCTGTGCATACTTGTGCGCTCGTTTCGTACTCTTTCTGTTTCAAGCGCACGCTTTAAGCACTGCTGCGGTGGTCGAATGGGTAAGGTACTCGGAAGCTGACCCGCAGGTAGCGGGATTCAATCCCGGCTACTGCGGCTGCATTTTCGAAGGAGGCGAAAGTGCTGTCTACCCGTTGTTATGACCGCCGTCAGTCGGCGCCATGCTGTCGCTGGGAAGCGTAGCCGGGCAGCGTTCCCACGCCTGGAACCCAGTTTTCTCGGAACCAGCGTCCAGAGATGACGGGGGAGCGGCGCTCTTTTAATCCTCAAACAAGTAGCCGACTGGCCGGCTGCCTATACCCGCCAGGTATTGTCCCTGCTAGCCGGAGGATGAGACGTCGTGTCGCCACGACGCCGTGAGCCCTTCCAGAGAGGACAACAAAGACAGCGTCTTCCTTTGAAGAAACGGCGGCCACCGCCACAAAGTGCCCTGCTAATTGAGCGGACAGATTGGCGGGCCGTTTAATGTCTGCTGTCCGGAGCTTGGGACCCCTCGACCAGCGACACACACACGACGAGGAAGAGCCCCTTTGGCGCCACTTTGCAGTGCAGTGATCACGACTCAATATTGGATGCTCACGTGGGCCGTGCATGCTCGTACCCGTCGCCTGTTGTGTGTGTGTGATTGGTGTTCCACTCAAGGAGGAGGAGCCCGACAGGGCTTATAAGGACGCCGCAGAGTGCGGGACGTCGCTCTGAACCATGTAACGGTTCAACCACCACGTTCGTGGTTTGTGAAAACTCTCAACCTTTCTATGCTGTAAATATTTGTAAATAGTGCCATAAACCTGTTTGTTTTTCGTATCCCCATCTTGTAAGCGGTCGTTTCCTCAACCCGAAGCTACACCACGCTACCATAAAAGACCGGGCAGCCCCCGAACTGCAACAACTGGGATCAGAGCTGGGATCCGCAACAACTGGTTGGCAGCGGTCGGATACGAAGCTACAAGTGACAACAACAGTCGGCCCAAGGGAAGCAGTTGGCTCGAGACATGGATCACGTATGGGTGAGTGCTTGGCTTTTCCCTTGAGTGAACCAGGTTCTAAAAGAGGGTTAAATTTTAGAACTGGTAGTTAACTTTGCCGAAAGACTCAGTTTCACCGTTTCGGAAAGTTATTTTGGAAGTAGCGAGCACTCAGTACGATCATGGACTTACGGGAGCTGCAGAAGTCAGACTTGTTGCTGTTGTGTGAGGAATTGGGGATCGATACAAAGGGTTTGGCACGAAAACCCACAATCATTCAAGCGATTAATGATTTGGGGGCTGATGATGAGGAACTAAGTGAAGAATGGGACCTCATTATTGAAAGAAAACTAAAAGCAGCTCAGATGGAAGGAAAGAGTGGAGACGAAAGAGAAGGCCTCAAGGGAAAGTTTTTCACACAAGACTATGAGTTGAGTATGAGGTTGGGACCCCAGCAAGGAGTACTTCTCGAAAATGAGGCAGAGTTCGAGATGTCTAGGTACATGCAGCCATATGAGGTATCATGGGATATGGGCCTGTATCTTAGACTCTTTGAATGAAAGTGTAGTCAACTGAAGTGTGAGCGAGACACCTGGTCTCAGAAGCTACGCACGGTTCTGCCCTGCGAGGCAGCGGATGTTGTTGCGCGACTCAGTGAGCAGCACGCGAACAACTATGACGTTATCAAAGCAGAGCTGATCAGAAGATTCGGAACTTCTGTTGGCAAAAAGAAAGAAAGACTCGCACCGGAGTCCGAAAGCGAGGCGCGTCGCAAAGCGCCGGAAGTTGAGGCGCCTCATAAAGCGCGACAGGAACAGATTGCGCCAGAAAAGGGCCCGCGTATTCTCGAATGCATCAATGTAGAGCATGTAGAGAACGAGGCCTTGGCTGGTCTGGAGGTAGGGACGATGTCGAAAGACGCTCCTTGCGTGCATGAGGAAGGTACCAGCAGCCCTAATGGGCCCAGTAAGATGCTGGAAACCTCCTTTGTGCCTCAAGAGGACGTTTCGACATCGTCAAATGTAGGCATGGTTAGCGCAGTGGCTAATGAGAGCAAGAACGCCACGCTTCAGCAGTGCAGCGATAATACCGAGCTGGTTTGCAAACATCGCAGAAAATGGAAGAAGCGGAGGCGTTCGTCACTGCGCAAGCCTAGGACAGGTCCCACTCAGTCGCAAGAAAGACGAGAGGGTAGGCCGTTAATCCGTTTCAAGGAACGTCAATGGTGGCGTTCAGGGAAGCACAAGCGGCGAGCCAGGTGTAGAGGGGAGAAACGAGGTGCTTTACCCAAATGAAAGGCGCGTTTTAGTTCGACAACTTCAGGAAGGCGACCTTGTCCGAAGGGTCAACGTCGAAAGATCACAAAAGCTAAAAACCGCGTCGGGGCGAACACAAAGGGACAGTGGCCCCAGTTTTCCTTCTGTTTCTGGCGTCCCTTTCAAATTCCTGAGGGGAACAGGCCCAAGTGTAAAATGAGGTATGACGGCAGTGCACTGCTTAGAGTTTGTGCATTTTGTAGCTTCTTCTTGCGTGCTCGAAAACTGCCCGCACCACGACCCCATCGGGTGCGATTCAAAAGAATCTAGTTGAGAAAGGGGGAACGGTCAGTTCGAGTAACTTTTGCACAGGCGTGTTAAATACTGTTACTCAGGGTACGTCAAGATGCGTATTCAAGTCTTTTAAATTTTGTAAGTTACGTGATGCGGTGTAAATTTTTCAAAAGGAAAACCGCCGAACCAAAGGCTGAAAATTGAAGTTAGTTTAATCATGAGTGCGAAAATTTGCATAAGGTAAAAGCGGAGAAAATATGTTATTTTTCTCGTTTTTTTCAAAGGCTTAGTGTAATATCGTATGCCTTCACTGCCATTGGGATGTAACGTGAATGAGCATTTGAGGAAGATGCTGGCATAAACCAATCGATTTTGTAAAATGATTAAGCTTGGCGCGACACAGTGGAGTTGTCGTTGCTCGCTGTGAGAATTGAGAGCCATTGACGCACGGTTTTAGCAAAAACCTTCGCGATTGTTGTGAGGTGCTTTTCAGGTGTTTTTACCTATGGTTATTTTTGTGTTGTACACGGTGTGTTACAAC